TTGGGTGTACCTTAAGGCCACTATTATTTGCGAGTACTAATTTTTGTGATTTGTTAATGGTACTGATTTAGCGAGTACTAATTTTTGCGATTTTGCTCTTTTTTCGCAATTAATAACTGTTAATAAACCTAAATTATTAATAAATGCGAGTACTAATTTTTGCGATTTTAAAGCTACTCGCAAAAAAACGCAAAAATTAGTACTCGCAAATAATAGTGGCCTTAAGGTATGTTGTACATGCAAGTTTAGAATAGTAATTATTTTTGAGAGAGGAGTTAAGCATTGTATTATAATGACACATGTCTTTAATGTAAAGTGCTTTGTTCTCTTGTTTGACATGTACCTGTAACATGTATGTATTCAAGCACACAAACTCCCAAAGCCTTTATTGTTATATTTTATTTTACTTTTCTCTCTTTGACATTAAATCTACAGTACTTGCACAGAATTTACTTATCTCTCTTCCCCCCCCCCTCTCTCTCTCCAGGATTCACAGCTGACCTAAGGTCCAACACTGGTGGTCAGGCCTTCCCTCAGTGTGTGTTTGATCATTGGCAGATCCTCCCTGGTGACCCTCATGATCCCACCACTAAACCTGGTATTGTTGTGACTGAGACAAGGAAGAGAAAGGCTCTCTCTGAGGGTATCCCTGGCCTTGATAAATATTTTGACAAATTGTAAAGCGAATGACGGAAATAAATTTTGACAGGATGGTTTAAAGAACAATGATATTGAAGTGCTTTTATTGCATTAATGATAAGTATTATTATTATTATTATTATTATTATTATTGTGTACATACAAATAAATTAGGAAAAGTTTGCTATTATTATTATTAATATTATTCCTTGTTTTTGCTATTGTACCTTTAATTTATTATCATTATTTATTACCAATTACCTTTTAAAATAGTAATTACCAGTCAAGACTACATTATTGTTTTTTATTGGTGGGTGGGTCATTGGGCGTGGTCTTATGGTTTCTAATCTAATTTGATAATTTCCCAATGAGTGTTCCCGAGGCGAGAAGAGTTTTAAGAAGAATAGGTACCTTTTATTTTCTCATTCATTCTCTCCATTTACTTTATTGATATTTCAGAGCTTGAGGCATACGCTTCAATAGTGAGCGCCTTTAGAGCGGAAGGTCCATTGACGCAGTTAGTCCGCCATATTTCGTCTTGTTTATTTTGATAATTATCTCTTTATAGTGAGAAGAAAGCTGCTCTTACTAAGCTCTGTCAGTTACTGAGGTAAGTACTACGTCAAAAATTGTTTTTATGTACATGTAGTTGGCAAGATACAATTGTATTGGTTTTTATCAAACCACAACTTAATAATAATATAATAGCTAGCCCCTCCCTTTCTCCACCCACAGTATATCTTCTGATCGTCATCATGCTGAAGTTAGAAGAGCAATCTGTGACGATCAGCTCTGCTACATTGCCGATTGGTGAGTTAAAACTCTTTTGATAATTTTTTTTAATTTATTGGGTTGCCCATAAATTTTTTAGTGTTACTGGAAATGAGAGTAAACGGTCGTGGCTGCCGGAAGGAAGGAGGACTGGAGGGAGGGGGAACCCACGTCTTGTTGCAAGGCACGTCCTTTCTTCGTCTCTTCAGGGTCAGGCTCTGGCAGCTGTCACGGCTTCAACTGTGAAATCAAATTTGAAAGCTGAAGGAGGAGGAGTAGATGAATCTGAGAAGAAACTACCTCCACAGGTTAGAGACACTCAAACTTTCTACTTATACACTGTACATGTACAGTAGGCACAAGTATGTGCATTAGAAAATGTAGTAATAGGGATAATTCTCTTCTATTCATTTTTGACGAAATTTGGCCAAAATCCCTCTACTATAGTACAGGGACTTTTGTCCGATTTTTGAGTAACTTTAAAACTCTTTGAAAAATTCAATTTTGATCAGAACCAGCTCAAACTTTCTACACAACATAAGAACATTTATATGCATGAGGAAAAATTATAAAAATGGAGAATTCTCTCCTTTTCATTTTTGACGAAATTTGGCCAAAATCCCTCTACTATAGTACAGGGACTTTTGTCCGATTTTTGAGTAACTTTAAAACTCTGTGAAAAATCCAATTTTGATCAGAACCAGCTCAAACTTTCTACACAACATAAGAACATGTATATGCATTAGGAAAAATAATAAAAATGGAGAAATCTCTCCTTTTCATTTTTGACAAAATTTGACTAAAATCCCTGTACTATATTTTGAGTAACTTTAAAATTCTGTAAAAAAATCCAATTTTGATCAGAATCAGCTCAAACTTTCTACACAACATAAGAACATTTATATACATCAGGAAAAATTATAAAAATGGATTATTCTCTCCTTTTCATTTTTGATGAAATTTTGCCATAAACATTATTATTATTATTATTTTCTAGGTTCAGTCAGCTATAAGAATGATAACAAGTCAGCATCAATCATCAGCATCTAATACCCGCACTCAAAAACCTTCTCCTCTTCCTCCTCCTCCTCCTCCTCCTCCTGTCTCTTTAAAATCAACTGGTTCCCAAACAGACGCTCTACCATCAATAAAACCGGACACTACCACTCCTCACACTACACCAGTACAGAGTGTTTCTATTGGTATACAGGTTGACCTCATTACAGTTGATAAAGTTGATGTGGGGACTCAGTATGAACTAATGGAAGATGTGATGGAGATTAAAGAAGAAGAAGATATACAGCAACCAAACATCGTTGAAGCTAACGAACCCTCCTCTCAATCGATTCTGGAACAAACTAACCAGTCACTGGCTGATAATGATGTTAGTGATCATACTGATAAACCAGTTGATTCAGGGATGATCGAATCAGTTCAGAAATCATTAGTCGAGATAAGTGAACCAGAATCAATGCAAGATGAGTCTTTGTTGGTGGTCGATTCTGAAATCAAAGAAA